CTTTATAGTTATGTAAAATATTTATATTGTGCCAAACTCAAATCTATAAATGAAAGTATATTCAAAGAAGTCTTGCTATGTCCCTGCCCTCTACATTTCTTCTCTCCTCATAGATAACCATTAAAAATGTTATTTTAATCCTTCCATTTTTTAAATGAGCAAATACTTATCCTATCCTTCCTAATAATTCATATATACCTTTTTATAATTGCCTTTTTAACTTAATGATTTATCTGAAGATCATTCCATAATACTAGAGAGATCATCTTTATTTCTTTTCACAGCTGCCTTTGTACTCTGTTGTGTGGCTGTATCTTGGTTTATTCACTCACTCCTTTATTGTGGACATTTGGGTTGCTTCCAACTCCTTTATTATTACAAATTGTGTTGCAGTGAATAACTTTGTTCATCTTTTTGTACTTTTGCTTGTATTTTGTTGGATTAAATTACTAGAAATGAGAATGCTGGGTCAATATCCAGCAAGATCCCTTCAGAAAAGATTGGCAAATTTCCCTCCAAGAAAGATGTATGATTTTTGCATTCCCACCAGCAGAGCAAAAGGGCCTATTTTCCCATGGTCTTGCCAAAAGTGTAGGTGGTCAAACTTTTGGGTTTTTTTTCCTTAATCTGGTAAAGGAGAACTGATATCTCAGTGAAGTTTAAAATTCTATTTCCTTTATCAGCAATGCTGAGCTTTTTATAGGTCATTACATTTGCCTGTGAATTGCTTCTTAATATGTTTCGACAATATAAGGTCATTGATCTTTTCTTCTCAAATATTAAAAGCTGTTTATGTATTAAAGATATTTATCCTTCATGATATAAGTTACATGTATTCTTCCAGTTTGTCATTTGTCTCCTTTTTACATTCTTTACAATGTGTTCTCCATGTAAAGTTTTTTTTTTTTCTTTAAAATTTTTACATCAATTTTAGGAGTCCTTTCTCTTTTTGTATCTGGATTTTGAGTCATGGTTATGAAATATTTTCCTACTCATATAATATAGCAGTTCACTAATATTTTCATCTCATAGTTGCAGGGTTTCATTTGATTAAATTTCTGATACAGTTGGAGTTTATTCTTTTTTTTCTTTTTAAGATTTTATTTATTTATTCATGAGAGAGAGAGAGAGAGAGAGAGAGAGAGACAGTCAGACAGAGGGAGAAGCAGGCTCCTTGCAGGGAGCCCGATGCGGATTTCAATCCCGGATGGGATCACGCCCTGAGCCGAGCTCAACTGCTGAGCCACTTAGGCCTACCGAGTGTATCCTATTTTATGATGTGAGAAATGGATGCATTTTTTTCTTTTTAAAATAGAGTTACCTGGTTATGTCAATACTACTTATTTAAAAGTCCATCTTTTCCCCCACTAATTGAACTTTCATATGCAGTTGTATTCATCGCAAGGTTTTGTACTCTGTTGGAGATACAGGTAAGGGTTTTGGCTGAAGTTTGAATTTTAGTTGAATAAGCAGGTCACAAGAGGGGGGTTATAAAGTGGATAAAAGACCTGAAACATTGTGGATGTTGAACAGGTATTTAGTTAAATGAGTGACTCATTACAAAAACCAAAATAGTAAATGATTAAAGAAATAAATGTGAAATATTTATTTTGTATAGGAGAGGATTTCCATGAAATATCATTAGTAACAATGCAGTGGTAGACAATATAAAGGGAAGAAAACTCATAGTGAGATTTATAATTTATCTGCTGAGGAAAAAAAATACATCCATTGTACATTTTAAAATGTGAAACTCTGGGAACTTGGGTGTAAGTCTTAAAATATAATCAGATCATTTTAATTATTTTGAAAAACCATACTACTGTATTTAAAAGAAACCAGTGAGGAATCCTTTTGTGAAGGGATTCACTCTTTTGGATGTGCGTCATTGTTCATCAAATAAGGTGTTTCCTTGGTTGAGATTTTGATGTGTTAAGATTTCTGATGGGGAGGCATATTGACATATCTTCAAAACAGACTATAACAAAAATAGTGGCCATTTCTTCTTTGGTGGGGAATAAAAATAACGCAATGAAAAAGAATTAATCTAGGTTTTCATTATACTGGAAGGCAATTCCATAGACACCACTGCCCAGAGGTGTCTGACATACACCTAATTAGGTGTCTACTTTAGCTCCGAAGTAAGGGCTGTAGCTCTGAAGGTGTCCTTCTAACTCATCAGAACTATTCACATGTGATTCATCAGCTCCCTCCACACACCCTTGGCTTTTTTCTGTAGGTCAGCACACAGCATTGCAGAGGAAGTTAGTTCATAGTTTTGTAAATAAATTTCTCTAGGAGGTACACAGGGAAATTAAAGAACAGGAAAGGAAGAAAAAGCATTTAGTGGGACACAAAAATGACAAGGTGGAGAAAAGACTTCTCCATCTGGCTAACGATTCAGGGCTGAGAATTCTTTTTCCGGCCATGCCTCAAGTGCAAGGAAGGAAATGACAAAGCCAGTTCTGAGCACCTAGGGAGGAGAGCGACTCTTCATCTAGCCCAGCCTCGCATGAGGTCACGGGTTTTTCTTGCTCTGGGATATTTAATCAAGGAGTATTGGAAGTGTAGTTTCTTTTTTTACAATCTTTCAATCCCGAGAGCCAGCAGTAAGAGACGCAGAGAGCAAAGAGATGACAAATAGCCTGGGAAGAGCTGTCTCTTTTGTCTTCTCCTAGGGCTTAAAAGTGTTTTTGTTTTAATGGTGGGTCAAGGTTAGCATTGGACCAGTTAATATTCATGTGGTCTTACCACCCTTAAGCATGTCTAACTTCTTTGTTGGACACTTTCCACCTCTTTCCTTTCTTTCCCTTGAACCAGCTTTTGGATTCAGAACATTGGCGGCACACCCTAGGGGCATGAGAGTAATGTGAATTAAGTTTAACTTTAGAAAATACAGAAAACCTTTCAGATTTGGTCACATTTGCCTCTGGGGCACTGTTAATATGATTAAATGAATGCCAAAAATATTCTGAAAACTGTATATTCCCCTACTCTTTTCATCCTCTTCTATCAAATAGATAAGTGAATTTGTGCTGGGTCTCATCTCCCAAATTTGTCCTTATTCTTCCTGCAGTGTGAGTAGTAATGCCAGCTCTTGAAAATGAAAAACTTCTTCCAACTTCTTTGCAAGTTATTTCTCATAGTTATGAAAAAAAATATCATGGCAAAATATGGGGGAATTAGATGGCTTACAGATCCAATAAAGCTTTATGTGCTGAATCTAAGCAGAGCTCCATGGCAGAGAGGTCAAATGAAGGCCAAAAAAGCAAGTAGGGAACGTAGAAAATCTTTCTAGTACTCTTCTGCACAACTTAAATTTGCTACAAAAGCTTTGTAAGGCTGCATTGCTTTCTTTTCCAATGGAAAGGTGTTAAGATGTTCTGGTTGGGCTTTTTCTGCTTCTGGGAATTTTACCTTGAGTTTCAGGTTTCAACCAAAAAAAGGAAAAGCCTTCACTCAACTTGGTGTTCTGAACTGTTCAGGTGTTGTGCCTGTCTGAAGGCAAGAGAATAGGATATTTGCATTTACTGGTTCCCAGAGGAGCAAACATTGCTGTTCTGAAGGCATGTGTGTTACGGGACCATCCCATGTGTTTGCCTCTCCAAGATACTTTAATTTATCGTAAAATCAGCATAAAAACTGAACACTAGGGGTTGTTTTAAGAGGTGATGATTTTGAAAGAGGAAAACTTTGGGGCTGGGAATAGGTGTGGTGATCATTTTCATTTTTATTTTTTTAAAAATATTTTATTATTTATTTATTAGAGAGAAAGAGTGCACACATGAGCAAGGGGGAGGGATAGAGGGAGAGAGAGAGAAGCAGACTCCCCCTGAGCAGGGAACCTGATGTGGGACTTGATCCCAGGACTCTGGAATCATGACCTGAGCAGAAAGCAGGTGCTCAACCACCTGGGCCACCCAGGCACGCATGGTGGTCATTTTTTAAAATTATTTCATTCATTCATTTATTCATGTATTATGCATATAGTTATTAAATACCTATTTCATGGTAGGCTGGGAATAAAACACTGGCTAATATGATCATAGTCCCCGACTTTTATTAATTCTTTGTTTTTTAAGATTTTATTTATTTACTTGAGAGAGCAAGAGAGATAGAGAGACAGAGAGAGATAAGCAGACTCCCCTCTGTGCAAGGAGGCCCATGTGGGGGTCCATCCCAGGACCCAGAGATTGTGACCCGAGTCTAAGGCAGGCACTTAACTGACTGAGCCACCCAGGTGCCCCTAGTCCTTGACTTTTATAGGGTTTAGTGCCAAACAACCAAGTCATACAAACAAGTAATTATATTTAGTACCTAAATTTTGTGATAGAAAAGTATAATTATCTAATTTATCATCCAACTTGGACTCTTTTGAAGGTAAAAGAAGAGTTCTTAATAATTACAGTGGACCAACATGTTTAAAGTGGGATTTCCCTGGGCAAACTGGGATGTGTCTTAGGGGATGGAGAAGTTGCTATGAAATTGTGTAGCAGGAACACTTAATCTGGTCTGTGTGTAGTGATGATGGGGAAAAGATTTCCAGGAGGAACTCACATTTAAACTGGTACCTGTGTGTCTCTCTTCTCAGATTTTCCACTGTGGCTCTCCTAATGGCTCCATGAACTTCTGGGGGTGGGAGTGCGTGGGTAAATGCATCCTTTTTTAATTGCCAGGGGAGAGGGGGGAGTTTGCTATCAAACAGCTCAACCAAGGTCTGGGAATAGAGTCTCACTGGCCCTGACTGGCTTGATTAACTCACGTGCCTGTCACTGAACCAATCACTATGGACCAGGGGATGGAATATGACGATTGGTCTCTCCACATGGTGGGGGAATTCTGGGGTAGTGCTAGGAAGGGGAAATAGGTTAATAATAAAGCAATACTTCTATGGCACTTATTATGTCTTAGGTACTGTTTTAGTAGCTTTATATATATTATATTTTTAAACTCTCTGAAAACGCTTTGAGCTAGACATGATTATTATCCTCATTTTACAGCTAAGGAGACCGAGGCAGAGAGATTAAGGAACCCCCCCTCCCCACCACATCCCACATCTGGTAAGTGAGTAAGCCAGGACTCCAACGCAGGCAACTGGCTCTTAGCCATTACATTATACCGCCTGCACATCCTGTGCAGAAGAAATCACATCTGAATGCAGTGGACGGTGTGAAGGTGAATTGTGAGAAATGATGTACTACGTTAATAGCTGGTTTGCTTTCCTGGGTTAGAAAAAACAACTATAATCACTTCAAAAACCAAACCTAACAACAAACCGTCCACCTTGTTGAGAGATAATTCACACAACATAGAATTCATTCATTTACTGTATACAGCTGAATAGTTTTTTAGTATTTCACAGAGTTGTACAACCATCACCTCAAATTTACAACATTTCTAGTCCCATAGAAGAAATCCCATAGCCATTAGGAATCATTTTCCCTCTTTTCCCCATTTTCCCTCTTTTCAGCTCTAGGCAACTACTAATCGACTTTCTATCTTTAAAGATGTACCTATTTTGGACATTTCATACAAGCGGAATCATACAACATGTGGTCTTTTGTGTTTTCACTTAGCATAATGTTTTCAAGGTTTACCCATGTTATAGTATGGATCAGTACTTCATTCTTCTTTATGACTTCATGATATACCATTGTATGGATATACCGTATTTTATTTATCCACACATCAATTGATGGGTATTTGGATTATTTCCATTTTATGGATATTATGAATAATGCTGCAATGAACATTCGTGCTTAAGTCATTTAGCTGAACATGTTTTCATTTCTCTCAGGTGTATACCTAGGAATGCAATTGCTGAGTCAAATGGTAAGTAAGAGGACCTGCCAGATTGTTTTCCACGGTGGTTGTACCATTTTACTTTCCCAACAGCAATGGTGAGGGTTCCAATTTCTCCACATCCCTACCATTATTTATCATGTTTTTTTTTAAATTTTATATTATAGCCATTCTAGTAGGTATGAAGGGATATATCATTGTGGCTTTATTTGCATTTTTTGGTAGCTAATGATATTAAGAATCATTTTACACGCTTATTGGCCATTTGTATATCTACTTTGGAGAATTAACTATTCAGGTCCTTTGCTAATTTTTAATGAGGTTATTTATCTTATTGAGTTTAAATAGTTATCTGTCTTTTCTAGATACAAGTACTTCTTCAGATATATTAGTTAGAAATATTTTCTCTCATTTTATGGGTTGTGTTTTTAACCTTCTAATGAGTGGCCTTGTAAATATAGACATTGTTGATTTTTAATTTTTCTATTTTTTTCTTGTGCTTTTATTGTCAGGCTAAGCAACTATTGTTAATCTAAGATCACAAAAATGTAAATGTATGTCTCCTTCAAGGGTTTCAGAGTCTAAGCTCTTACATTTAGATTTTAGATCTATTTTAAGCTAATTTTTGTATATGATATGAGGTAGTGGTCCAACCTCATCCTTTTGCATGTGGATATCCAGTTTGTTGAAGAATTATTTCCTCATTGAATTATCTTGGAAGTGTGAGGAAGTGTGACATGAGTTCTCTTGCCTTGCTCTTTTTCAAAAAAAGTTTTTGGCTATTCTGGGTCCCTTGAATTTCCTTTGGAATATTTAGATCAATTTATCAATTTCTGCAAAGAAACCAGCTATCATTTTGATACAAATTGTGGTGAATTTGTAGATCAATTTGGGGCATATTGCCATCTTAACAATATTAAGTCTTCCAGTCCATGAACATGAGATGTCTTTCTATTTATTTAGAATATTTAATTCTATTTAAAGAATTAAAATTCTTTAATTTCTTTCAGCAATGTTTTTTAGTTTTCATCATTTGATTTCTTTTCATTGTATTTTCTCTTGCTAAAGGATTCCAGTCCTTTTGTTAAGTGTATTTCTAAGTATTTTATTCTTTTAGATGATACTGTGAATGGAATTATTTTTTAATTTAATTTTAAGATTGTTCATTATATATGTATAGCAATATAATTGACTTGGATCATAATTTTATATTCTGCAAACTCGCTGAACTCATTTATTAGTTTTACTTTTTTTTATTAGGTTCCTTAGTATTTTCTATATACAAGACCTTCTTATTTGCCACTAGATAGCTTTACTTTTTCTTTTTAAAGCTAGATATCTTTTATCTCATTTTCTTGCCTACTTGCTTTGACTAGAACTTGCATCACAATGTTGAATAGGAATGAACAACAGTGGTCATTCTTATCTTTGATTTTAGGAGAAAAAAGTTCAGTCTTTCACCATTAGATATGATGTTAGCTACCAACTTTATATAAGTGCTGTTATTACACTGAGGAAATTTTCTTCATTTTTAGTTTATTGAGTTTTTATTGTCAAGGAATATTAAATTTTGTCAAATACTTTTTCGTTATTTATTGTTATAATCACATGGTGTTAGTCCCATTGATATTGTGTATTACATTAATTGATTGTGAAAACTTAAACCAACTTTGCATTCCCAGGATAAATTTCAATTGGTCCTAGTGTACAATAATTTTGCATGTTGCTGGGTTTGATTTACTAGTACTTTGATGAGGATTTTTGTATCCATAATCACAAGAAATAATGTTCTGTAGTTTTCTTTTCTGTGATATCTTCTGGTTTTGATATCAGGATAATTCTGGCCTTATAGAATGAGTTAGAAAGTGTTCCTCTCCCACTTTTTGGAAACGTTTTAAAAGAACAATATTAATCCTTATTTCAATTTTTGGGAGAGTTTCCAATGATGTCATCTGGGCCTAGTAATTCAATCTCTTTACTTATAGATCTGGTCAGATAATATTTCTTTTTGGGTTAGTTTTGATAGTCTTTATAGGAATTTGTTCATTTCATTTAGGCTATTTAATTTGTTGACATGTAGTTATTCATAATGTTCCCTTGTAGTCTTACTTATTTCTGTAAGGTCAGTAGAAAGGTCCCCATTTTCATTCTTAATTTTGGGAATTTGAGTTTTCTCTAATTTTTATTTGTCAGTCTAGCTAAAGATTTGTCAGTTTTCTTATTCTCAGATAATTAACTTTTGATTTATTTATTATTATTTATTATTTATTTATTTTTTTGTGATCTCTATTTCATTAGTTTCTGCCCTAATTCTTGCTGTTTTCTTCCTTCTGCTTGCTTTGGTTTAGTTTGCTCTGATTTTTCTAGGGTCTTAAGGAGGAATCGTTCTCTTCATTATTGAAAGTAGTGCAATCAAGTCTCTAAATATTATTGTAGAACTGTCAATTTCTCCCTTCAATTCTGTTAAGTTTTTATTTCATGTATTTTTGAAGTTTCTACTGTCTGGCATATATATGTTTATAAATGTTATATCTGCTCGAGGAATTGATATTTTAATCCTTATATGATGTCCTTCATTATTTCTAGTTACTTTTTTTGTTTGTTTGTTTTAAAGTCTATTTTGTCTGATATTAGTATGCCACTCCAGCTTTCTTATGGTTCTATGTTTGTATAGTGTGTTTTTCTATCTTTTTATATCAACCTATTTGTATCTTTGAATCTGAAATGTGCCTCCAATAGATAGTATATAATTGGATATTTTTTTAAAATCCAATTTGACAATCTCTGCCTTTTGATTTGGCCATTTAATCCATTCACATTGATGATGATGAGGAGGATGAGGATAATGATGAGGAGGAGGAAGAGGAGGAGGATTACTGTATTTATGTCTACAACCTACCACCTCTGAGCTCTCTGTTAAGATATTTGATATTTGATATTACACTAAGTTGTTAGGCTTCACCAACTGCCAGCTGATTTCTTTATTGTTTTGCTTTTTTTTTAAGTTTTTATTTAATTCCCCTTAGTTAACATACAATATTATATTAGTTTCTGGTATACAGTATAGTAATTTAACAGTTTCTCTATTGATTTTGACAATGTCTGGTGTATAATTTGCTCCACCATCTGATCCAATTAAAATCAGGTAGGAGAAGTTTTTGAGGCCAGTCTTGAAGTTTTTTCTGACCCCTGGATTGCTCATCTTAGCTATTTCCCTGGGTTATTTTTTTCCTAATTAACTATCTTGCTTTTGGTTTAGCTTTTTAACAAAAATGTTATTTTAAAAAATAGGATCTTCTTTTAATTATTTACCACCAAAATGTCCATTATTCTTGAGAGCACCTTTAGGCTTGCATCTACCCACACTTTGTTTACAATAAAGTAGGCTTTTTTGGGGAAAGCTTTGGAGCCTACTGCTCTTATAGATTGCCTCCTCACCTGAGCAAAAATCTACTGCTTTGGGTGCTGCAGGGGATGGTAGCCTCTGATCTTCTTGGCTTGCTTCTTCTGGTGCAGAAACTTGGAGTGAGCTGGAGGGAATGATAATTAAGTCCCTCATATTCTTGGTCTACCACATCTGGTATAGGGCTTCTGCCCTGTGAGTGAGTACTGAATGGAGGATGGGAAATGTCTATTTCTCAGTCACACTCACCAGGAAGTTAGCCTTTCCAACTTGAAGTTGGAAGGGATGAAAAATGCTGGTGCTTTGTCCCTTCCAGCGAGATACCATAGTCCTTAAGTAGGAGGTTGAGGGAGAGGAAGCCTCACCTCTTGGGCAGACCCATTATGAGTGGAACTTCCCTCAAGCTGAGCTGGAGTGAAGAGGGAGCTAGCAGGTTATGGCTCAAGTGCCACAGATTAGCTGTTCCTACTAAGGTTTAGTAGCTTTTCTTGAATAAATGTTTCTTCATTTTCTATACTCCCCTAGGACAATTTCTAGAGACTTTAAATGTTGTTTTTTTTTTAATTATTTTTTATCAGTTATGTTTGTTTAACTGAGGAAGAGGTCTTCAGGGCTCCTTGCATGGCCATTCTGAAAGTGGAACCTATAATCACTTCTTTTTAATGTAGTCTAAAATAATCTTAAACTTGAAGTAAATATTTTAGATTGGAGCTAGGCTTTGGAAAATTGAGATAAGTATAAAATCCTAATAGTGAATAAAGAGGTGTGTAGTGGTAAAGTTCCCAACAGGAAACAGATGGCTCACACAAAAAAATCATCTAAAGAGGATACTTTAAAAAAAAATGTGGTTTAGGTTAAGTCAACCACCAAGGGATGGTGACAAGGACTGGTGCCATCAGGAAGTGGTGCCATTTCCTTCATGATCTGAAGGAGAGTTTGGAGAGGTTACCAGAAAGTGCCATGAACTGGAGCTCCCTGGGGAGATGTCCAACTGGAAAGGATTAGTGGTCTTATGTCAAAGATTGCAGTCACTGCACATCTGAGCTGGGGAGGAAGGAGGAGAGAGGCTGAAATGGGAAGAAGTTCATTTCCATAAGTGCTCCCTCCTCTCACCCTCTGATCTCCTGCCAGTGCCGGTCATTGGCCAAACCTAATGAAAACCAGAGGGCAAGTGAGTTGGAACGATATGATCCACAGAGTGCAGCTTCCCAGGGAACAGAATGGGACAGAGTGGAAAGTGGGTCTACAGATACTAACAAGGAACACCCAGCCCACTGGACTTCCCTGCTTGGGAATGGCCATGCTGTGACCTTCCTCACGCTGATGACTAGATACTGTCAGAGAACAGTGGAAGGAAGACACTGACTGAATGATATGGGTCTGCTCGTGTTCTCACATCCCCCAGCATAGGTCTTCACCAGAGTCCACAATACTCACCCTTAATTTTTTGAGAAATCACATGTTCAGGGCATTAAGGAAGTCAAAGGCAACTTCCAATGGCATCTTAAGCCAAGGAAGTAGATACAAAGATGGCAGGAGGGTTTATGAAGCTCTGGGAAACTGTCACGAAGGAAGCTTTCTGTTCATGTGTAGAATAGAGGGAAGCTGCCTTTGTTTTGTGGAGCATATCCACTGCCAAATAAATGTGTGGTCCAACAACTGTGTGTACTTAAAAGGCAGAGAAAAGTAGAATAATATTCTGCAATAAATCACCCAATACCCTACTGCTGGTGATCCTCAGATGCCTGAGAAACAGACCATAAAAGTAAGCCGGAGTGACTAACTTGGGCTGGTTTGTATGTGCATAAACTGGTGAACAGGCAAATCACTACCTTTAGGTTCCCTCTTCTATAAACTTGGAGAGCATCCTTGGCTTCAAGAAAGGACGGGGAATGACAGCACCATCAGATTCGCGTGGGTTTGTGCAGGCATTTGCTAGAGGTCTGCCAGAAATTACCCTGAGGCTCAAACCTCCTACTTCCCCTCCTTACTCTTCCAGCTTTTGCCCCCTTAATTGTTATTTTTTCTCTTTATTCTCCCTCAGGCTTTCTTCTACTGATTCTAACACCTCAACAAGGGTGCTGTTAGCCTTTTTCTTGTTCCAATGATCCATAAAACCTTATCCTGGCATCTAGTGGTACCTCCCTGGCATCCCCCGTTCACCAACGCTGCCTTCCGCCTGGTGCAGCAGGGCCCCTCTTGGCAAAGGAACCCCCACTTGCCTTTTTATGGTCCAGAGTTCTGGAGCTGCTGTGCCTCTCCCCATGCATCCAGCTCCACTCTTCTGGAATGTTTTTATGCTGAAAGTAGTTTTAAGTGAGGTGCAGCTTTGCTTCTTCCAGAGATTGGGGGGAAGGAGGGGAGAAGGAGAAAGGATTAAGTGCGTCTGCAACCAGGGCTTTGGAGCCTTTTGGCCTCAGACAGCAGATCATGTTTTAATACCCATGGCTGAAACCAAACTATAAAACTTGGAGACGATTGAAATGCTTTGTTTTGCAGCATACACATAACACAACCTATTGTTAAGGAAAACATTATTCTGACACTTCTTAAGATGGTAAGGAAAACTCTTCGGGGCCATTTGCCAGAGATGTCAAGACTATCGCAATGGAAGAGAGAGATAGGGCTCAACCTGGAGTGCAACAAAAATGTTGGGGATTTATAGCCAATAAGCAGAGCTGGGGGTGGGGGTGTGTGAGTGGGTAGAAAGTTACTAAGAGGAGAGGTCAAGGGTAGGGGCTTCTTGCTGAAAGCAAGTCAGGGTGATCAGATGTTAAAAGGAGTGGCGGTGAGGAATTTAATCAGATGAGTTAGAGTCTTGCTAAAACTGGACCAAGTCGGTAAAGATAGGTCCCAAGAACAAGGCCTACTTGAAAAGAGGGCTCAGAGGTTCCTGTCTGAAGTTTGGACAAGGAGAGAATTTGTCACTAACCACTAGTGTTCATTTGTGAAGCTGACGGTGGACTCAGCTCTTTGTGTCAGTGACTCCACTGACCCAGCACACAAGTGTGCACAATATTCATTAAAGGAACATACATATTAGGGAAGAAAACACTGTCTCCTATAGATAAAGCAAGTCAATTTGTAAGAACTTCTGGTTTCAACCAGGTCTGTTGGCTCCTTGTCCTTGCTTCGCTGGACGTAAGCGCATAATTGCATTATAAACTGTGGGATTCTGATGCGCATACTGTGTGATGTGAATGACATTTGAAATAAGGTTCTAAGGGATGTAGTAACATCTTTGCAGTTGCAACCTCAGTGACACAGAAAGCAGGCTGGAGATTTTCTGGTCAACAGAAACACAGTGGTATGGTGTGACTTTGGCTTTTTGTATGTGGCTTGGAGTTAAGCCAAACTGCTGTTGACGTGAAGTGGGAGAGTGTCCATTCTGAATTCAGTTGCTGCTCAATCAACACCCAGGTCACAATCTCCACTAGCCAGACATGTCTTGGCTTCAGCAGAGAGCTGAAGAGCTGAAGCTCCAAAGAGAGGAGAATGTACATGGATGTTTGCCAACTGGTCCTCCATTGGTCACCTTTGGCACTGAAGGCACATAAGCAGTGATTCCAATGGCCAGGCTTGTATTGATAAAACAATTTTCATTTGAGTGTTTGACTTTTTAGGCGAATGGATGTATTTATAGAAAATGAAAGAACTTATACATTCATTTCACTAAACCTGGCTTAATGTAGCAGAAAGAAATGCCAACTCTATTACAATTATGTTGGTGTGATGAAAATATTCATTTTAGATCACTAAAAAAATTAACTGAAACTCTACTTAGAGCTTTTGGAGAAGTACTGTATGTATTTATAGATTTAGGTCATCAAAATTAGAAGGAAATTTGGATATCATTATGTCACCTCACCTCCCTCATTTTTAAATGAACAGATATAGTCAAGAGAGAGATTCTAAAAGTTTTGATAAGAAGTACTAGGCATATACGTGCTTTTTTTTTTTTTAATGCTCTGTAAATCCTGATGCTAATACTGATATTCGATGTAGCTTTGTGTTTTAATGCAGCGATTCCTACTAACAGAGCCAAGAAGAGTTTTTTTGTCTAGGAAAAAAATGCCTATTTTGGCACAAAAAGATCAGAAATCATACAGCAAAGGATGGATTCCAGGAAATTTGAGATTAGGGTTCTACAAGGAATTTCACCAAGAACTATATCACATCACATTTCATTTTTGGTTATACTTTTTTAATCTCTTGTTTATAACTAAACATTTGAATTTAATTATAAAAATAGCTCTTAGACGCATAAGAAAAGGTACTGAAACCATCTTATTTCACCTCAGATTGGGTCTAAGAGCACATTAACAAGTGCATTTCTCTTTGGAGATAAACAGAGTTTTTGGAGAGTGGTGAAAAGCACAGGGGTTAATGATTGCTTGTGGGAGGGGGAAATTCTGGCCTTGATTTTTTTTTTTATAAATAGGTTCCATGCCCAGTGTAGAGCCCTACATGAGGCCTGAGATCAAGACCCTGAGATGGAGACCTGAGCTGAGATCAAGAGTTGGACATTTAACCAACTGAAGCACCCGGATGCCCCAGTGATTTTTTTATTTTAAGGAATGATAATTTCTATACTCCATGGGTGAGCCTAAATCCCCAACACCAAAGGGGAGTCTATTTAGCATTGGTCCCCATCAACAGGTTGGGGAAGAGATTTATCTAGGAATTGCTTTAGACCACTGCAGGGGTGTCACCCCCAATTGGATCTCACCCCCAATTCTTACATGAATATAAACTTAACACAAAGCAGGGGGCCAACAGATGTGAAAAACACCAAAGGAAACAGGACCTCTTGAGATGCTGGGAGCTGATTGGTACATATTTGTCCTTCAGGGGACTTCGGGTAAATAAAAAAGCCCTTGGCTTCTCTGGTCTGCTATCCTCTCTGGGAGAGGGCAAGTCAGTACAGTGCTGAGAACATTGCTCAGAAATGACCCCAGAGTAGTTCAGAGTCTGGCTGACTCTGGGGTTATCACATTTTTCTCTGAGAACCTCTTGCTGGTTCTGTGATGCAGTTAGTCTGACAGTGAGCCAAAAAGCAAAATCCTATTCCGAATGGGTTCAGTGACTCCCTGCCTGGGGTGGAACAAAGGATGGGCAGGATAGGAATGACTCTGTGTAGCTTCTCAATAGCTGTGATGCCTATTCAGCATCAGCTTCCTCACTTTTAACAAGAATTCTCTTACCTTATAGGGTCATGGTGAAGAGATTCGCTGAGCTCATGCGTGTGAAGTGCTCAGTGCAGCCGGGCTATCGGCTCTGAGGGGCCAGTGTCTTCCCAGGAACGTCTTTGAGTTCTCAACATTAGACTTGCCAGACCAGCAGCCTCGAGTTCACTTATTCATTCAACACACCTGTGGAGCATGTGTTCCCCCATTCAAAGCTCTCTGCTGGTGTATAAAACTTTGAATTGTTTAGAAGCAAATCCAGAGAAAACAAATCATTGGTGGCTTCTGTTGGCATGTGGGCTGCTGTTAAATGTAGAAATATCTCCATGAAAAGTTAAAGGACTCCTTTTCTGATGCTGAAGACACACAATTACAGTGCAAATGTTTCAACTGCGGAGCAAGAACTTTATTTGGAAGACAAGGAAATGTCTCACTGTGCTTTTGCATCCTTCAGAATCAGTAAAACAACCAACAAAAGACTACAAACAAAAACAAAACAACCAGGCTGAGCCACCGTGAGGAGGGAGCTCTGCTCCCAGCATCCACGCCCTGCAAAGAATTCTTTAAATCCATCTGCTGTAGGAAGTTAGGCAAAGCCATAGCTGTGGAAATTCAAAACAGCAGGTTTTAACTAAAGAACCTTCTTCCTGGAAATGTGTGTATTTAAAGCTGCCTGGCCGGGCTGCCTCTAGCCTTAGGGCAGCCCAGGAAAGCTCTCTGAAGTCAAGGAAAGGCACTTTGCTTTTCCCTCGTGGGTATATGAGGCTCAGCTTGAATTTTTCAAACAGCGTCCTTGTAGAGCCGAGGAGAGCTGCTCCGTGTTTTGGGGAAGCTCTTAGTGGAAAGAGCAGATCCTTTGAAACTGGGCAGATAGGAGTTCAAATCCGGGCAGTGCTTCCTAACTGAGTAACCCGGAGAATTTCATCTGTAAAGGATGGTGACACCCACCTTATGGGATCTCTATGGGGATGAGATGAGATATCATATGCAAATCATCATATGTAAAATAGGTGTTCAATATGCATTTTGGGGAGAGGTAGTTTGGAAAGCACACAAGCCCAGGTGTTGCATAATGTAAAGGAAGCCCTGCAGGTGAATGTGGCCCATGTATCGTTTGTCCTTGTATGGGCAGCAGTTGGCCAGGCGTGATGCAATTTAGAATCCCTCGTTACCTTTCAATGGAGTTCAACTTTTCAGTTAGAATAGACTTCAGAACTGTATTTTTGGTAGAGTTCAGTCTTGGGAGCAAAGAGAACTAAGGGCAATGAGGAAGACTCTCTTGACCATTGCAGTGTTGCATTCTTATAATTTCTTGAAATTTGAAAGCTTCCAAGGGTCTTAGATTAAGTTTCTAAAACTCTTTTGCTGCAATACAAAATATGGCCCAGGGATCCCAGAAGGTGCCTCAAAGACGGGGATGCAAACTGCTATTTGAACACTATTGGGCTGAATATAGACTGAAGGGCTGTTGGACTCAGGTTTTCCATCTCTCGCAAAGTGTTTGAAGAACTCTTTGGATTGCTGGAAGATTAAGATTAAGGTGCATCCATTTCTTCCTCCCAAATACTACCTTTGTGTGTTACCAAAAACCTGAGCTGAAAAGCGGGGACCTGGTTGAAGCAGTGGGGAGTGGCTGTGAGTGGGGCCCTATGTTATTTAAAGATCATGGATTCATTTTTTTAACAGACATCTGGAAGCATCTAGTTTCAGATTCTGTAGAAGCAAAGCTCAGTAAGACCATGGTCTTGCACTCAAAAAAATTCCATCCTTTACCTCGCCCCAGAGACTGTTGCCTTAAAAACAGACTCACATTTCTTCTAATCGCAACTCTGGGTTAATCTTTTTTTATTTTAAACACAAGAGAGCTCTGGTTCTAGGGGTTGGCTTTCTGTGAAATCATATCTCTCTGAACTAAATTTCCTTCATGGGCAAACCAACTGAGGTGTTTGGAGTTATCAATTCTACTGTCCTTCAGTGTCACATGGAGGTGCTTTTGAAACACTTAGGTTTGGATTCCCAGGATCCACTCCAGGCCTATTTAATCTTAACTCTCTGAGGGTAGAGCTCACCTTCCCCGAGAGGTGCTGACATACATTCAAGTAGAGAACCTGTGTGCATTCCAAGCCCAGGATTCCTTAGAGGTCCCAATACTGGATTAGGAGAAAGCAAAATCTCCTTTACAGCACAAAAGAGTATCATTTTAGTATTGGAGGCTGGATTTGAGAAAATGTACTCTCCAGAAACCTTCTCAGATAGCTGAGAAGAAAGCAATGATGCCAGAGATAGAAGCAGAGAGTCTCAACACAAAGTACTGTCCGCAGGCCCTTTGAGAACTGCAGGGGTGGGGGGCTGTTCCTGAGTGGGCAAATTCCAGCCTGGCCTTTATCTCATTATTACTCTTATTCTTTTCCATCCCTGCCCTCAAGAAGGACAGGGGCACCCCACCAGCCCAGTGTGCTCAGAGTACTCCAGCACATTGGAAGGGAGGCACCGGTGGCCTCAAGCCACTGACTGGCCTGTGGGCATCAGTCACCCTGGGAGAATCAGAGGAGTCACTATTCTGTCACCAGTGGCCAGGCCATCTCTACCTGTGGTCCACTCCTACATGTAGCCAAGCTTTTAGGGGCCTTTAAGCCCAAGAAAGCTCTCAGATGTTGGCTCAGGATCAATGGCTAGCACTGATTGTCAAGATTTTGGCTTCATTTATTTACTCAACACATATTTATTAAATGAATGTTTGCCATCGGCAGAGCAGTTACCATTGGGAGACCCTCCTAGAGCAACGACCGATAAAATCTGAGAGAGGGCATAGGCACACAACTATAAAAAAAAAAAAAAGCCACCTAGGATTGATACTTTAAAAATAGCAAATTTATTTTAATCCTAAATGGGCACCAAAAGAATTCTGATGGATGTATAATTTATGCAAATCTATGCAAATTCAAGTACCAATTACACAGAAGAGGATTGGGTGGCATTTGTAAAGACCAGCCATGCTCTAAGCTGTCACCTGCCAGCCTGCTTCTCCCTGGAGTCAGATTCAGACCAGATGGCAGGAATTAGAAATGAAGAAACCTCCTTCCTTGAACTTTCACCTTCAAGTCTAATATAAGCATCTGTGAGCTTTGAAGTGGTGGGATTGTTTTGGTTAGGATTCAAGAGCTCTTTTAGGGATTGCAGCAGGACGCTGACTCTGGAAACAATAATACCTCCCCATGCAGACCCCAAAGTAATGTGTGCAAGACACTTTGACTTTCCTAGAATAAGACAGGTTTAGGTATTGCTAGAAAAGCAGCAAAACAGAATGCCTCACAAAATATTAGATTCGTTGCTTCCAAGGGGATAAATGACAAGTGTTTACTTGTACACATACACACACACACACACACACACACACACACACACACACACACCTACCTTCACCTTAAAATGGGGCTAGTACAGTTTCTTCAGTGAACCCCCTATGCGGGGCCAACAGCTGATCACGTGCAGAATTGACTGCAGCTCCTTCCTCCGCAAGAGTGTTCCCTCTAGACTACTGAGTCAGCATCATTATCCAAATAAACATCTGCTCTATTTTGTTGTTAGTAATGATAATGACTAGCTGGGGTCACTAAGGATGGGCCTAACACATACCATCCAAATGGAAAATTTGAGAAAATTGGAAGCTTTAGAAAAAACTGCAATTGTGTTTCTCTATTTACTTTTTAAAAAACAAGAAGACTCTGCCTTATATTGGCCTTATATTGGGGTTATTCTGTTTGGTTAGAACACTCATGACACCAGCCTTAGGATTTATAGAGCCAAGGGTTATTACAAAGCCTGGTTGGATAGAGGAGGGGGTTTAGGAGCCTGAGCTGAGGACTTTGGAAGTCTTTCAAGGGCCTGCAGTGAAATCATGGAATGCCAAGATCCCGGCTGATAGCCTTTGGGCTGGTAAGGAATGTTAAGAAGGAGAGGCTCCTTTTGCAGACCTGGGAAGGAGGGGCTCCCCTCTGCCTCAGTGCTGGAGGTCTCCCCATGCAGGCTGCCTGTTGTGCTGCGTGACCGAAGGGAAGGCTGCTGGAATAATCCATGTGCTCAGGGCTGTGCCTTCCTGTGGATCTAGTACGACCTGAAAACTGGCCCTCACTAAGTCAGTGTGGGAACCCCCCTCACCACCACCACCACCACCAAGGAGGATCCTTTGATGTGAGGTGTGAATGCACACTGACATGTCCACAGGGATAATGAATTGTGGTATCTGATGGGAAGCAGAAGCTTCTCTGGGAAAAATTCCTGCATTTTCTATTGCTGTGACCATCAAGCTCAATGTATCCTGTATATTTTTGAGGCAAATGGCATATACTGGAGCTTCACCAACCCTAGAGCAACTTCTAAAGTGAATCCTCTCAGGCTCAGAATCCAGTGCTGGGAGATGGAGCTGGGGGTAACTATTCTCTGAAAGATGGGCTATTTTACTGTCCTAAACTTCACTCCCACATAAAGGAGCATGTGTTACAAGAGGCAGCAAGCTCTGCCCCACATGTCAAATAGGTGCTACAGTAAACTCCAGTTGGTGAGCTCAGGAAACAATTCATAGAGTGGACTAAGTGCATGTGGGGCTCTCTATTCCTGTTTCCTTATCTAGACAGCAGGGCAGAGATGGGTCCCACTGTAGGGAAAAATAGGTACCCATTGCCTTTGAGCTTTTACTCAAGTTTCCATTTGACTTGACTTTTTTTTTTTTTTTTCATTCTTTCAGAATCCCTAGGGGCCCTTCCAGGCTTTGTTTTCTATGGGTGTAATTTCTGGAGGAGACAAATGTCTTCATTTCCTACACTGTTGGGGGTTGACCCTGAATGGGAATAAGAGTGTAAATCACCCATTCCAATTGTCTGGCTGAGGACCATAAAGTGCCTTGCAGTCGTTAAGTGTTCACCATTTTTTGAGGCCGATGCATTTTTCATGTCAGTTTTATACACAAAATTTATGTCAACTGGTTAGAAATTTGCTTTACTCTGAAATTCTCCAAGGCTTAACTGGAACTAATGAAAACTCAGAAATAATAACAAAAGACCCAAACATCTCCACATAGTTTTCTTAACTCTATATCAATGCTTACTCCAAATCCAGATCTACTAATACCATTCTATCTCTGGGAGAGGTAGTACATTGGCTAGAAATACTTTTGCCAGCAAGTAACATTAGAATCTAAAAATGGGGATCCCCGGGTGGCTCGGCGGTTTAGCGTCTGCCTTCAGCCCGGGGCCTGATCCTGGAGACCCAGGATCGAGTCCCACGTCGGGCTCCCTGCATGGAGTCTGCTTCTCCCTCTGCCTGCGTCTCTGTCTCTGTGTCTCTCATGAATAAATAAATAAAATATTAAAAAAAAAAGAATCTAAAAATGGCTTAAACAAATGGGAATTAATTTTTCCCACATCATCTAAAGTCTGGAGGTAATAGCTTTTTCATTGGTCTGGTAGCTCAAGGTATCCAGAGCTTTTTCTTCTCCTGGCTTTTCCCTCATGGTTGCAATATGGCTGCTGCTACTCCAGGCATCAGATCCTCTATCAAAAGAGAAAGTTAATGAGGATAATGGTTTGAGAATATAGCACAAATTCCTTGACACATCTATTGAGAAGTGGGCCTTATGCTCCCTCGCCTTGACTCTCAGTGGGTTTGCGACTCATTCACCCAACAGAGCATGGTAGAAGTGATATTGTGTGACTTCTGAGATTATAAAATGCCATGAAGCTTTTGCCTAGTTCTCTTAGAACACTTATTCTCTTGATGCTTTTTTTTTTTTTGAGACTCTTTCTTTTGAGAATCTCCCTCTCTTGATGCCATGCTCTGAGGAGCCCAAACTAGATGAATGACTTTGGTCAACAGTCCCAACTGAGTCCAGTCTTTGAGCCATCATAGCCCAGGAAGCAGAGATAAAAGTGAAGAAGCCTCCAAATGATTCTAGCCCCCAGGCCCTTTGAAATATTCCCCAGATAAGGATCCAGCCTGCATGAAAGAAAGATAAGCCATCCACACCATGACCGGTACAAATTCTTGACTCACAGAATTCATTTCTGAGCAAAATGAAGTGGCTGCTGTTTTCTACCAAGTTAGAGGTGGTTTATTAGGCGGCCATGGATGTCCAGAACAAGGAGAAAAGATAGTGCAAACTCCATCCATCCCTGACTGATAAAATAAAATCTTTCCCAGAAGGCCCTCCGCATACTCCCTGCATAACTTAATGGTCATGACATGGCCACCCCTGTCTGCAGGGGAAGTTGAAAAAATAAGAAACGTTTTGGGTTAGAGGTGATCTGTTTGGGGGGAAGGTATGCTAAACAAAAGAGAAGTGCTTTTAGTAAGGAAGAGAAGGGAGAAAGAGTATTGGATGAATAACAGAGTGTGCCACAGTAGCATAGGAAAAAATATGTATTTTGAAGTGTATCATGTATATGAGGGAGTGTAGATATTGTATATGTGCAGTTTAGAGGGGACTGATGAAGTACTTGTGTACACACAAAGTCACAAGGAAAGAGAAATCAACAACAAATCTGAAACACCTTGTAAACAAGTGATTTTCGGATTATAAGCCTCTCCTTACTCCTGCCCCTTCTCAGAGCCTTCTGATTTTTGTGTTTAAGATTCCTTCGCTTTACCACAGCTTTTTAACTTAGGAACATATATGGTATTGTTTTGCATGCTTTTTGAGCTTTAGATATATAATATTCCTCTAGAACTTGCTTTTTCTGTTCAGCATCATGTGCAGACATTTATCCACATTGAGACCTGTAGTTTACTCATTTTCACTACTATATTGTGCCTGTAATCTATTCATTTTCACTATGATGTTGTATTAATACAATAATTGTGTTGCACATTTCATGAATATATCATAATTAGTTTGTTCATTTCCTTGTCTGGGGACACTTAGTTTGTGTCCAGCATTTTTCTACTTTGATTGATGCTGCTGCTCTGAATATTTTTTTTAAAGATTTTATTTATTTATTTATTTATTTATTTATTTATTTATTTATTTGAGAGAAGAGAGAGACTGAGTGAGAGAAGGGGCATGAGCAGGATGAGGGGCGGAGGGAGAACAGGCTCCTCCCTGAGCGGGTCCCGGGGCTCTGGGATCATGACCTGAGCCAAGGGCAGCCTCTTAACTGACTGAGCCAACCAGGTACCCCTGCTCCGAATATTCTTATACATATCTCATGGGCAGGAATAACTTTAAGAAATATACCTAGGAAAATAAGTGCCTAATTATGTGGTATATACATTCTCAGCTTTTCTAGGTGATGTCAAAGTATTTTCCAAAGTGGGTTTATCAATTTACACTGTCTTTAATAGTGTGTACTAATTCTTGTGAGAGTATAAAGACTTGATAATTTTTGACAATCTGATGGCTATAAAAGGAATCTTTTTGTGGTTTAAATTTACATTCCCTGATTACAAATGAAGTCAATGTGTTTTAGATACCTATGATCATTTGTGCTTCCTTCTTAGTGAAATGTCTGTTTGGAGCTTTTGTCCATTTTCTATTGGATTGTTTGACTTTTTAAAAATGTATTTGTGGCAGTTCACTATATATTATGGATACTGTTCCTTTGTTAGTTCTGTATAGTAAATATCTCCCAGTTCGTAGCTTGTGTTTTTAGTTTTATTCTTAGCGACTGTCAACAAATAGAAGGGAGGCTTGTTTTTTAATTTACACGGTAACTGTTCATTAAAAAAATTTACTGGTTAATTTGTGAATTTCTGTTCCATGGGGACAACCTGAGATTTGGAAAAATCTACACTGCTTGACTAATTGCCTTTGGCAAACTCTGCTCTGGAGTTTCATACATGTAACGCCAGACAAACTCCAATGAATATATGTTGCTCTGTGTATTTCCATGTTGAAGCCAAGCTGATGATAAGGCAATTTACAGAATAATGGATCTCACAGTTTGGGTCTATGATCCAGTGCTAGATGGGCCTCAGGAAAGTTAGCTTCTGTGCCTGAACAGGGACTAGGTTATCCTTATTTAGAATAAGAGAGAACTGACAGGTTCCCCGAAGCTGGTTCTCTCCAACTATCATATTATAACCAAGTTTGGAGGCCCTACTAAGCAGAGAAAATTATACTTTTCCCTTGTAGTCCTGACTCTGAAGCTGTAGTACACCCCTCGATGCCGGAGATTTGATGCCATGCAAAAAGAAAGATTATTCCTTTCTTATATTCCTCTTCGGATCCCATCTGACCTCTGGGCCCATCATCACAATCAGCCCCATCTATCTATTTTCCTCTGTCGTACATCCAAGACTGGCTAAAATCCAAATTGTGACATAGATGAAGTTGTTTATTGGCTCATGGTAATACCTTCCACTCTCTGTTGCTCACATATGGCTGCTGGACATACTTAGCTCTGTTTGGTTGAGTCAATGTGATGTGTCCACATAAGAAGACTACGTGGCTCAGCCTCACTGTAATTTCTTTGGGGCCATATGACTGTGTTTGGTCAATGGAACTTGGGCAGAAATTATATAGTCCACTTCAAAGCCCGGTTCTGAAGAAGATTTCATGTGATGCTCCAGCATCTCCCTTCCACAGTATTGGGAGCATCTTATTTTAGATGGTGTAACCAAAAGAAGTATCACGGGTGCCTGAGCCAACCTCAGAGAAAAGCTTTACAGGAGACTTACTCAACCCATGTCAAACTATGACTTGATTTGGAGATAAACCTTATAGTGTTGAGCTCTTGAGATTAGGGCATCTATTTGTTATCTCAGGATAGTCTAATTTATGCTGCCTGATATACTTCTCAATAGTTCCTGCAACAGAAATATAATTTGGAAGAAATAAAGAGAAAGAGGGGAATGATAGGGAAAGAACTACGCTTCGAGTCAGAAATAGTTTGGCTTTTGGTTTGGCTTTTCGTATTTAGCTCAAGGTCCTCAGTGACTCAGGCACTCTTTGCTCATGATTCTTGTCACTGTCCCCCTCTAACCTGCCCCACACCCTTCACTTCACATCTAATACATTTCTTTTAGTTCATTTTAAAGCCATTGAGCTGGAACTGATTGTTTCCAATTCATACCAAAGAATCATATAAATCATATAAATCTTCAGGAGAGAAATCTTCAGTCAAACATTGTCATGAACTTGAACAAATGTATTTTGAGCAGTTCTGGGCAGACTGTTTTATTATGCAGTCTTTGCTTCACTAATGCCTTTGTCTCTACCCTCTAAATACTGGCCTGTTTGTCTGAGTCACCAGGAAACATTTGTATGAAGTCATACATATTATGTTTAAAATGCCTACTGGAGTTTTAAAATGTCAGCTCTGGAATGGAATTTAGTAAAACAGGGTAGGAGGTTTAAATACAAATGACCACCCAGACCAGGAGGTCACACAAAGGAGAAAAATGTGGCAGGTGGAGACAATAGAAGGTAGTGGCAACCATAGCCAACTTATAAATGCATGTCCTCAGCTGATTAGTGCCATGTGGGAATGTCTAAGGTTTTAAATTTTTTAGATCTAAGTCAGAAATCTGGATTTTAGGTTAAATTTGTCATTTTCTCATCCTTGGATGTCCTCCAAATGTGTCCCAAGGGGTCCTAATCTAATCTAACTTTCCCAGGGAGGTTTTATGACCTGCCCTAAATGACATAGCTGTTAAGTAAGTGAAAGAGGACAAAAATTCATTTATCCCCTTGTTATAGGCACATACTAAGTCTTACCACTAGTAAATTTTCTCAGTTCTTGACTGATCTAGAAAGAATTACTCAACCATTTAAGAGTGAAGGTAGCCAGTGTGTTTCTTTCTTTTCTCTGTGAGGAGTTTTCACGGAGCTCTTTCACAGATAGGTGGCTTAATTAGGACTTAAGGATCAAAATCCACACCATGTCAGCATTACACTTAGATACGATTTTGAAATACCTCCAATGTTCAGTCTTTCATGCCATTCACTGTTGTTCTTTCTGCCAGCTCAGAATCCTACTATGAGAATTTTTGTACAAACAATTCTCTGATGATCAGGGTCCTCCAGTTGGCATCCATTCCTTTTAAAATCAAGTGTTAAGCTAAGCTTTGAAGGTACAATTTTGCTTGAAACTTGGAGAGTCAGTTTGGATGAATGGGGGTATCTATACAGCAGGTGCATGGATCAATCAAAGCTCATTAAAAAGGAAGTAGAATGTTATAAAAGCAATAGTTCTTCAGGTCTCTGTCTTCTATGGAGAATCTCTTGGAATATCGTGAGATGTTCTGTTAGGAAATGCAGATTGGGTGTCCACAAGAAGATAGATCCCCTCTGAGAAGAGGCTACAACATCTGTGTATTTAGAAACAACTACGGATGATAGCTTTATATTAAAAGAGCAACAGCACTCCCCTGACTGCATAGTACATGGTGGAACATTCTTGAGCTCTGTGTTTATTCTCTAACTGTTCCTGTTCTATTAATCAGTCTGCAAGGCTCAACTTTGCTCCTGGGGCAGGCGTTCTGCTGTCCAGGGAACAGCTGGACTTTCTCAGAGAGGATGTAGACAAGTCAGGCACCCTCGTTCCTTTCCCTCAGCAATATAGGAATGAGTTGGCTGACTCGGCTTTTCTCCCTGCTGAGGGACTATTTTATAACTCTCTGCTTTCTAGAATGTCTTTTCTTGGACTTAGTGTGTGTGTGTTGGCAGTGCCCTTCTTTTCAAGTCACCTTTGAAAGATATTTATTTCTCCCTTGAGCATATCTCTGGTCCTCTGTCTGGCAGCTACTATCCATTATTTAACTTCTTATATTTTGCTCTCCTTTTCTTTCAACTTTGTGAAAAAAATAGAGAAAGCTTTTCTGTAGTGTTTTGAACATGTGATGTTTTTGCTTGCCCTTAGTGTTGTAGTGCCTAACACAGTGACTTCCATGTGGTAGGCACTCAGAAAATTCATTCCATATGGATGAATGGATGGATAACTAAATGTTCACGTAGAAGGCATGAACTCCATCCAATGAGCAGCACAACAATGAAAGGAATGATTCTATGCAGCAGATCAGAAGTTTAAGTGAGATTTTGCTGCTCTTTTGTTGCGAGATTTTGTGAATTTGCACATTTATTTATTGATTCTGCAACATTTACTGAGAGTATCCTTTTGCCCCATGAAGTCTAACAGGAAGACAGGTCCCATATAATGCAGTGTAATGAGTGCTATGAGGCAGCCGAGTAGGCTACGAGAATACAGAGATGTACTTTGGGTGCAGACTTTGAGTGACGGAGTTTTGCTCTCATCTTGCTTACATCAGTTTAATGTCAGGGTATCTGAGAGGTAGTATAACCAATAGTTATGTTTTCGACATGAATTCTTGTTTCTTTCTCTTCTTTCCTCTTAACATCCACTATACCTTTTTGGGAACGAAAGCTTTTCTCTTCCTATCCAGAGAGAGGAAATAGAGCACCATGTTTCTAAACAGCAAGCCCTCCCTATATTCTAGGTTGGAAGAATGCAGAATTGCTAATGGTTTGGGTCTAGGCTGGTGGGATCCTAAACTCTTCCCATTGACACATCCCTGTCAAGGGTTTTGTCTTGAAGGATAAAGAACTTTTTTTGTTGTCTGTTTTATGATTTTGTGCAGGAAGGACCCAAAGGATATTTTAGGGATACCTAGGCCTTTCCTGAGTCTAGAAAAAATTTCCACTCATCTACCCATTCCCAGCCTTTATTTGGAGGCCTTACTTATTCTTCTCGAGGTCCCACTTTAGGATTGGTCTGGGATCAAGGAAGGATAGAAAAGGTAGAATTTATGTTTATTTAATCTTTTTCTTTTTTATATGAGGACTAGGTATCTTTATCCAGTTGGACCATGGATTCTAGAGTATATTTTATTTTATTTATTTTCTTATTTAAATGTTTAAGTTAATATGTACTGTAATATTGGTTTCTGGAGTAGAAGCCAGTGATTCATCACCTCGATACAGCACTCAGTGATCATCACAAAGAGTGCCTTCCTTAACACCCAACACCCATCTAGCCCATCCCACCCACCTCCCTCAATCAACCCTCAGTTTGTTCTCTATTGTTAAGAGTCACTTATGGCTGGTTTCTCTCTCTCCGTTTTTTCTTTTGCCCCTTCTGTCCAGTGTGGAGCCAAGTCGGGGCTTGAACTCACCACCCTGAGATCAATACCTGAGCTGAAATCAAGAGTTGGACACTTAACTGAAGGAACCCTCCCAGGTGCCCCTAGAGTATATTTTAAATGGAAACAAAAGTGCTTTGTCGTCCAATTTCTTCCATGCCTTATTATGGTCCAGTCTCCCATTACTAACTCCTACAGTATTGCATCTCATTGGCCATTCTGTTCGTCCATGCCTTGTATCCAGGTCCCATTGCAGGCCAGAAGAGATTTCAGACGGGTCTGAGGGCAAAGGGATTCAGGCATCATCAGTATAGGATTAGGACCTTGTTTCTGCTTAAAGACTTTTGAAACCAGAATGACAGGAAGGGAGTGTCCTTTATGCTCAGTTAGTTTCTTATTCAGAAATGATTGTTTCTTAATTTTCAACTCAATTTCTTGTATTGTTCTTTTCGACCTTCTTGTCATTATACTAGATTCAGTAAACACTATTGATGGTTTACTCTGTGCCAAATGCTGTACTTTCATGTACAATTATACCCTCTCTCCACTTCCCCAGGCTGTAGTTCTCATATTTTTATTACTTGAGAAAGTGCCCCAGATCTCTAGTTATTTGAATAACATTGCAAAGGAAGAAGAAATTAT